TGTTAAGACGTAGGTAAAACCGATTCCATTTGAATTCCCATGGAAATGAGTAACTTCCCTCCTCCCAACTTGTGGATTTCCCAACAACACTTTCCTGGATATGGCTTCAAATAGTTCGTAATTCTATTATGGAAAACAAAAAGACTTATTGGCACCCATAACAAGACAAGCCTGGCAAGGAAAGGAACTGCAATAGAAAGTCCTGGTGCTGAATACTCACCGCCTTTCCTCTTACACTGGATGTCTGTTAACATACCTGGGAATGTTTATGTTCTTTAACTCTCCAGATTAATAACTGATTTATCGGAAAGAAAACTCAGGGGTCAGCACACGGGCTCGTGTTAGATGGCTCTGTCAGCTCTGCAAGCCCTCAGTATGCGACTGGCTTACCTACAGCTAAAGGCAGCAGCATACAAATTAATTTAATAAAGAAGCTGGAAAAAGCAGAGATCCCATCCCTTTATTCCATAGAAAGATTTGTCACGCCCACATTTCAGTGGATGCTAGATTAACATTTAAGCCATTTATCCAGTTCCTCCACCTACACACGGACGCCTCCGGCTGTCTCAGCACACACCACCCCGTGCTGCAGATCTTCCCCTTCCGCAGGGTCTCTCCACACCCGGGAGTTTCAGGGTTACGTTATCAGCTGGACAAGACGCTGGTGGCTCTGGAGCACTGCAGAGGTGCAGAGGAGACCAGGGTTCCTGCGGCCAGGCAGGGCTTTCGGGAGGTCACGCTGTGGGTGCAACCTGTTCTAGGTGCCTATCCAGACTTCCAAGATGGAGAAATAAAATCCCTACAAAAGGCTTCATAAATTCCAAGTATTCTTATTATTATGCATTTGTCTATTACTGTCCTTTATATTACTGCTGTCAGGTGATATTATATGAGAACAGGAGACTTTTGAAGCCTTTGAGAGGAGAATTTAGCACAAAGATCCCTAGGGGGATGCGAGGGAAGAGGAAATGTCAGTGGCAGAATAGGGGGGAAGGAGAAAACGCTAAGTGACTCCACGAGGTTCATCTGCTGATCTCTCCCTGTCCAGATTAGGCAGAAGTGAGGGAAAAAGCCTCAGGAAATGGGCACCAGTGCTGACCACAGCGAGCTGTGAGGAGGTCACATGCGCAGGGCTGTGGAGCTCCGAAGGCTCCCTGAGCAGCAGCGCTGCGCGCAGAGCCGAGATGTGTGGCTGCAATCAAATTATCCCCTAAAAGAAATAACAATAATTTCTGAACTTCCCAATTACAGGGGACAAGCAAACCTTGGAAGCCATTAAAAGCTGCTTCTTCTGTTGATAAATTATCCAGAGTGCACAGAGCTATTTGCTGAGCTGTGCTGTATTACACTAATTATAAATTAATATATTGCTCATTACACACCAAAGCTGTGCAGTCAACTAATGCACTGCTGTGAAGAGGCTTTTTAAAAGATCCTCTGGTAATTTTATGATCTAGATGTTTAATTTACTTCTGCACTGGTTTAAATGCCACCAACATGTCATTCTTTCACATTTTCTTACTAGAAAGTGCATTACAAAACAGAGAAAACATCCCTGGCTTCGCCATTGCTCCTGGGGCCTTTGCAGTCCAGTGGAACGATCAACCTCTGGTTTTCTTCATACCAAGCAGTTGCATAAGAAATGAAGACAAATAGCACAACTTGAGCCTAATTCCTGCGTTATTAGTTTTTAATTGGTGTTTATCATGACAGTGGGTTGACAGGAGGTTTTCAGGCCCATGGTCTCCATCCACAGCCCATTCCTTGCCTGGGAGGTAATGGGAGCAATAGCCATGTCCTGGCTGCCCTGGGGACCCAGGGACACGGCAGGGCTGTGTCGCCATCCAGTGACATCTACTGTCCCTGCAGTCTTTACCATCCCCGGGCTGAGCTGCTGGAGCTGCAGCAGGAGCAGAGGGCGAAGGGAAGGAGGCCAGCAGGGCCAGGCACGCGCTTCTCCTCCTTTGGAACACGAGCTGCAGGGAGGGCTGCCCGCGCTCCCCGAGGAGCCGTGCTGGCAGCTGAGGACAGCTGAAAATCAGGCCTGATTTATTCTGCAGGTGGAGGAAGCCCCTGTGACCACGGAGTGACCAAGGGGGCTGTGCAAGGGCGCTGACTGCAAGCAGAGCTGCAATACCCACGGGAGAGCAGCTGGACCCAGCCTGCTGCAGAGGGCTTTGCCACAGCAACCCTGCACCATCTTCAGCTCCGGAGCTGCATGGAGCTATAGAGACCTCAAGCTCTCCCCAGCCCCTGTTTATAAACACTGCAAGGAGTCACAGTTTCTACAAATAGATTTGATCCCTAACATAAGATGTAAAGAAGAGGAAGGTACATGCCTGACTGCTACAATTGGTGCTGATCTATACTGTAAGCTAGGGGCAGAGAGCATCAGTCCTTCCCCCATTTAGGGCGGTGAGAGAAGGTGGAAGGAAGGTACCGTGGAAGCATTTATCAGGGAAGACGTTACTGGAGTCAGGCAGCAGCTGGAGTGAGCAGGTGAGCAGAGTGTGCGAAACAAGGGAGGAAACAAGGCAGCAGCTACAAAGAGCAGTGCGAGAGGATGCCTCCAAATCTGAATTATTGAGGGGGGAGGGCATATGGGTGCAGGAGGGCTTTACAAGGGAGGCTGATAAGTGATTAGAGGCTGGGGCTGAGATACTCTAGGGTGCAGAGTATAAGCTGCTGGGGTGGCAACCTATGGGGCAATCTCAGTTGAGTTAGAGGGGCTCTGGCCAGGGCAGGAGGCTGAAGTGCCAGGCTGTGCAAGTGATGCTGTCCCAACTGGCAGAGCTTCTGCTCCTAGCTGGTGAAGGTGTGTTGGTCTGGGTCAGCTGCATGCCTAATGGGAGCAGGATCTTCCTGCTAGCAATGGAGGATTTTCCCAGTGCTCCCTGTGTGCCATGCTGTGCAGTCCTGGCTTCTCTCTCTAATGCAAGACTAGTGGGGAAAAGCAGGGAGCTGTCCTGCAGAAGTCCCTGGCTGCATTTCAGGTGCCTCTGGCACTGAGAACTCACATATTGACAGCTTTCTGTCTGTGCATGGAGATGTTTTACAGTTCTGATTCAGAACTCTTTTTTTCTGGACCACCTAGTTTTGGGTTGAGGCAACACAGAATTTTCTACTTGATGTGCTGTAAAGCTCTTAGACCACTGAGGGTCCTTGCAGTGCAGTAAATGCACCAGTGCTGTAAATGCATCAGTGTTGATGCTGCAGAGCCTGGCACTGCACTGGGGAGCTGCGCGTTGCAGCGGAGTTGGTGCAGAGGGAGTTCGGGCTAGTCCATGCCTGAATCGGCGCTGCTGGCCAGGGAGCTTGCAGGGAGCCAAGCGGCCAGCCGGCTCGGCCCAGGAAAGGGATGGAGAGCGAAGCGGGAGCTGCGGGGCAGCCGGGGAGCGGCAGCGAGCGCGGAGCAGCGCTGGCCCTTGCCGCGGCGGGGACGATGCACGAGAGGTGCTCGGGGCGCTGCCCCCCGGGCTCCGCGGCCCTGGAGCCCCCGGCAAGGCCCGGGGAGGGTCCCGGCTGC